AAATCGAAGATAAGTGATGTACTCGCCATTGATGTTAATACCGTATCCTTTCCAGTCCAGTAGCTTGAAAACGTCTTCCAGTGCAGCGGTGAAGAGTTTCGGGGAAATAACCTCACCCTGTCTTACACCTCTCTGCAGTTGGATAGGTTTCGTACTCTGGTTCTGTACTCGGATAGCCATCGTAGCCCTACTGTACAAACACTTCAGCACTTCGATATACCGACATTCAAGTAAGCACCGCTGAAGAGACTGTAGCACCCCCCAATTTCGACGGAATCAAAAGCTTTCTCATAGTCCACATACGCCAGGCAAAGTGGCAGATTGTATTCTTCGGACTTCTGTACAATTTGCAGAAAGGTATGTATGTGGTCTATGGTACTAAAGCCTTTTCGGAAACCGGCTTGTTCGGGAGGCTGGAAGTCGTCGAGTCTGCGTGCGAGACGATTCGTAATGACTCTCGAAAACAGCACGTAGACGCGGCTCAGAAGGGATATCGGTCTATAGCCTGTATAATAACTTATCTCTATACATATAAAAAATCAAATGCTGTCTGTTAGTTTTACTAAAACTCGAAAACAGTTTTGATGAAATTTTTTGTGCTCATTTCTCTGGGGAAGGTCCCTGGATGGTTTGAATTCATAATTGGACCCGGTAGTTGGGGCTGTAGTCGAGATCCGGAAATCATCCGTGCAAAGCCGGGCGGATCGCCAGTAACTTTTCAATTCAATTCTTTTCATTTTAATTATACTGCATCCAATTTTGACCTTAATCTATCTTAAGTAATTTATAAATCTTAATAAAATAACCAAATATTAAAGGAACTAAATAATACAAATTATTTACTGCATGCTCCACCGAAAATGGCACTCGCTTAATAATTTTATGCCAAAAATATCACGAGAGTACACAATGACTTTCTGTCAAAACTTTATAACTACTTAACTTTAAAATTTAAATGAAGCACACAATTCAATACAGTCAAAAAACTAAAAGCCGGAACCCATTTAACCGCAGTACTTATCTATAAAAATAGAATAATAAATGACTCCCAAAATAAACACTCAACAGTAGTATGAGGTATGTATAACATTTTTATGACAGGCAAATTTATTTGTTTGTGTAAGTTAGATTCGTCATATTAAAAAATTAAAAGTCTATTTATTGAATACGTTGAAGCTTATAACAAATTTTATATTATGTAATGGCCAAATAACCTAAATTGTTAGAATTAACCCGGTGAAAGAGGGTAAAGTTTTTCGATTTATGTATTTATGTGTCTATGGATTTGCCACGCTCTGTGTCCCAATTTTTGTAACAAAAAAAATTTATGTATCTATGTGTCTATGGATTTGGCAAGCTTGAGTACCTAATCGTTTTTTTTTTAAATTACTGTTTTAGCCATTGGGCTTGTTTATAATATGTTAGAACTTACGCTTTATATTATGTAGGTCAGTAACGCAACACGTAAACATAACATTTCCTAATTCACTGTTTGTTATAAAAATGGGTGACCTATAAAAGGTAAGTTTGGCGAGATAAAACTTGTTTGTGTTGTGTAATGGCGCACGTATCTACCAACTGTATTTCTTAATATTTTATGGTGACATACTACATCGCGTTAAATTTTGTTTGTTCCTATGTTTGTCAACTTGCCGTGATTTTCGTTATATTTACATACGTATATCGTAATCTGATATTATGAATTTGATCTATTTTATGTTTTTTTTTTAATTATAAATGCGTAGTTTATTTATTATAGTACAACACCGATTACCTTATTCTCGGCCGCAACAATTAATTACGCCGTCGAGTTCTAGCAAATCCTTGTCACAATGGAAGAGACAGTGTAGGGTTACTTTTCAGCAGTGGGCTTGTTATACGTTGCTAAAGAAAATAAATGATTTTTTAAATAAATAAAGATCTCTTTTCACTGTAATAAGAACTACTACCTAAAAATTGTAAAACAATAATTGCTCAAGATCATTTTTATCCTAAAATATAAACAATACTAGGCAATACATAGCAGTTATTAAAAATCCTATATAAGTTTTGAGTGATATAATAAACGGAAACAATACAGTACAAAGTTTAAAAATAGTTAATTTATGTAAAGCTTTATAAAATTATAAATAACATCACCGAGCCGCAAATGTTTATGCGTGGTAAAGCCACGGTGCAGCTATATTATGGTTAAAGCAAGAATGGGTCGTCTCGACCGGGGAAGGACCCACAGAATACTAGCGCAAAATAGTAGTGTAATGCTGCTGTGTTTCGTATGGTGAGTGTAGAGAAATGGAGGCTCGTTATACTGGAAGCGAGGCATTCCATCTTAGTCCTCAGGGGTGACAACGCATCTGCATTTTGATTCTTAATTGAGGATAAATATAGGGCTAAAGGCCACAGCATCCACTTACCATCAGGTGGACTGTGGGTTCGTTTTTACCCTTATTCTATTTTAAAAAACATGAATAATATTAGGCTCTCAGTTATGAAGTAGATATGTACGTGATAGAGCAACATTGCAACGATAATATGGCTGTATCACGAATGTGTCGTCTTGACCGTGGTAGGACATTCTCGCACAAAATATCAGTTTATAGAACCGGAGACCCTTTTTATTGGTAAAGAGGCATTCCATTTTAACCCTCGAGGATTAGAACACATATAAATTCATATTTTTATTCAAGTGTACATATTTCGTATGTGTGCTTGTTTGTCACTTTCGTTCTATGAAAACTTTTTTCCCTATTTACACACAACAAATCCATTGTGTCACCAGTTACGTTCGTATTGCTCCATATCATAGATTATCATAGATTGCCTCGTAGGGGGAATATTTGCCATAATTGCCACGCTTGGCAGGCGGGCTGGCAACGGCAGTGTCTATTACTAAGGATATCAAAAAGATGCTGCTGTTTATCTCCTTTTTCAGTTTGCCTACTTACTAGGTTACGCAATCATATTGTTTTTATGGTAATGTTAAAATGATCTTGCAAATAAAAATACCATACAACTGGATCGAAAGGAAAAAAATTATCAAAGGGTCTACCTGTGTGTGGATCATGATTGTGGATCCAAGTTGATGGATATTTACTTATCACCGTATGATCACAGAATAAATAATAGTACTACGTACAGAAGTTACACTTTTTTGATGTTGACTGCTTGCCAACTTTTAATAGCCTACATAATTATTACTAATTGGATAAATCGCGCACGCAAGCTAAATAAAACTTGATCGCTGCGTGCGTGTCCATATTACTTTGCATCGTTTCCCGTTCCTAAGTCACAGCGGACTTTCCGTGGTTACTAAGGGATATCAACAAAAAGTAAAAAATACATTGCCAAATGTTAATTAAGTTACTCAGGTGAATTGCCTATTGATATATACCATATTTTAGCACCTATGTGAGTTCTGCGATGTCTAACGTATGCAACTTGCAAGGCCATTCGTGGGGAATCGCGATGCTTGGCTCGGAAGAAATAACAAATAAACTTCAAATATGATTTCTAACATTCGTATTCTACTTTGTTAAAAATCTTGTTAGTATATGAAGTTTTATTTTCAGTATATTGTGTAATTATAACTTAAAATATTTTAATAACAAAAGACAAGTATAGTTATTTAAGTAGATACTTCGATAGTGCAGTAAATTTCAACTAAATTTTGTAATAAAGTTCATACGTATTGAATAAATTATTACTTAAATCTATTTTGCTATGAGTACCTATCTAACAATAAAAATTAAATAAATTTGCGTTTCATAACTTTTTACTAAAATCCTTCGGTAACTTAAAGAATGATATATCTGAAACATTTTGTTGGTCATTTAGCGTTTATCCACGCATTAATTATGGTAGGAACGACGTTTTGTCATATTAAAATTTATCAAATAGATGGGTACATAATATGTATAATTTTTAAGTTACATTAAACTTTTTAAACTATTTTATATCCTACAATTATATATACTAAACACTAAACAAAAACTATTTCAACAAGTATTTATAAAAATATTTACATAAACAGCGTTAAGAAACTTTAATATTCAATCGCCTACAACGTGCTAGCCCCGACTGGGTATTTCACCCTGGGTGCGTCGCGTTTTAGGTAATTATTTCACGCAGGTAGCTAGAGTGACAGAGACCTGGTATGGTTGCATTTCAACATCCCTCATCAATGATATGCGTTTTGATATTTCAAACATTTATTTTCTTTGAGAATTTTATTCAATTTACAAACCAAGTATACCGGGCATAAGATAAAAATATAGTGTAAGTGTAACAAAAACTATCTTTCCAAATTTTAGATAACATGCTAAAAAAATAAAGACATGATTATGTACATTTCATTATGGGTGATAATACTGCGAGTACTATTATGTTATAATAATTAAAATTAAATAATAATTAAAATTATATGTTATCATCATTAAATAAATAGTAAAGCCTTAACGCTGTAGTTTGGTCTGAAAGAGAAACATCATTAAAATAGAGATTTTTACAAAATTACATTCCAATTTTATACAAACTTGTTCTTATTTTCATTTAATATTTATACTTATAAGAAATTGAAACGCTTAAGGCACAGCAAATTACTTCTAAATGTAATATAGTATATACAACTATCATAGACATTGGTAACATTTTATTACACTATGCCACAAGTTGTGATATGTACAAAAATATTTCTTCAATTTTACTAACTAAACTTATTCTTATTTGTGTATAACATAGCCACACTTAAATTAACATTGAAATGAAAAAATTAAAATGTAGAACTATTTTTAGAATATTAAAGTTACAGCACCACTGATTGAACAATAAATAATTTAATACACCATACACTTAAGATAGAAAAACGAGGAATTCATTTATATTAAGAACATTTAAATTTCTCCTACACACTTTTGAACCATGTGCACTTTATTAAAGTCTCATTGGCACAATTTTACTAAAGTATCATATCGGTTCCACTTCTAGAACCGATATTCTTCAAATCAGGCTCGCGAATTTTCCCTTCTTTGTCTTTCTAATTTTTTTCTGTGGTTCTGACGTTTTCGAGCAATGATTGCTACTAATGATACAGCAACAACCAGAGCGGCCGCTATACCTAACCACCAATATGTATTATACGACGCCTCTTTAGGACTAACATCTTCATTTTGATTAGCAGTTGCCATCGGATTTTTAATCTCAAGTACACCTACAGTGGATGTTTCAAGACTCAACTTCGAATTTGAATCGTATCCTGTATCGATGACATTGTCAATTATACTTTCATGTGTATCTTTTGGTTTCTCTACAATTGGAATGTCATTCTCTTCAGGAATTTTTCTTTCTTCAATCTCCGGTTCCGTTTCGGGCGGATCCACATACTCGTCATCATCATTACTTTCACCAGATGGTTCCAACTGATTATCTAAATATTCGTCCAGTAATCTAAAATAGTCTGTAAGGCCAGTATACTCCAAGGTGTTTTCTCGTTTTGCCAGTAAATCGCTTACCATTTCCGGCCAAACTATACTGAAGCCCTTGATCATAGGCTCGCTAGTAATAAAAAATAGTAAATTAGCACATAGAATCTTATACGAAATTAATGTTTTTTTTTTACTTACATAAGACGTTCGTTCTTTTCAGCAACGTGTTTGACTAAGTCGTAATCGTCTGATATAAGCTCTTCAGCAAAAGACTGATATATTTGATATTTAAGTATAAGACCCATAAATTTTCTGCAATACAAGACATAAAATTGTGAAAATATAGTAATTATTATATAAATTGAACATGTTGAATACCCTACTTATCTACTTACCCAATGAAAGGTTTGTTAAATAAAATATAAGGGTCACCTAAAAAGTCTTTGTTAGAAGTCTCTAGCATGGAAAAATTTTTACGAAATTCACTCCAACTATTCGCTACTTTTGAAGGTGGAATGTCACCCATTAAGACCCTTAATCTCCATTCGTCTGCAGCAATGTAATAGTTTAGTCTGAAAGAATAAATTTAATTTTGTAAGAGTATTAAAGTCACCGGAATATATACATTCAGTTGTTATTACAAACTTACTTTGGCAAATCTCTAAGGGCAATTATTAACTGCAGCACAAGACGATGATGATTAGGGTTATAATTGAATCTTTCCAATGCATAAAACCCTGCTCGGTCTAAAGTATGAGGATTTAAAGCAAGAAGTGATATAAATCCTGGAATGGCCTCATAAACCGCTGCAATCAGTAAAACAAAACAACCTTAGCTTAACTTCAAAAACAAAAAAAAATGTATATTTGCAGGTATTGACCCACCTGAGTATCTTGATGCTTCTCTAAGTACATATGTATTGTTGCTATGCAAAGCAGCGGTAATTTTATACTTAATTTTTGCAGCCGTTTCGTGAGCTTCAATATAATTTCCTAAACTTACGTCTTGGCAAGTCACAAATCTCATTTTGCTTGGTTTACACCAGTCTATAATTGTGGTAGGGCATGAGCCATTAAAATATGACTCCGTAAAAATTTCTGGTTCAATCTCACCAATTTCCAAGTCCTTCAATAATTTTTCTGCTTCTTTAAATGCTTTCAGGCCACCTAGTTCCTATAAAGTATACTTGACTACATAAATTTCATAAAGTTACTTTAATAACATATATTTTCAATATACGAAATACAATCCTTACCTTAGTTTGTAAGTTCGCATAAATCCTTTTATATATATCATGATGCTTAGGTAGTAAGCTTTCTATAAGATTAGACCAGTCATCTCCATTTAATGATCCTGTATAGATTCAATTATTTTATAAACAATTTGGGTTTTATTCGTAACTATTATAAATTAATATTCGAAAATATTTAAGACTTACGCAATAAGTGAACTGGCAAAGAATTTCCAACAGCTTCTGATCCTTTAAGCCGAAGTGCTATATATTTATGTAGTTTCATATACAAGGGCTTTACATGATCCCAAATTTCGCGCGCTTTTAATATAGCACCTTCGTATTCACCCAGTGAATTCCAATATTCTTCTACAGTATTATAATCTATGGAAAAAAATTATTGTTACGGCTATGAACTTTTATTATTTTATTTTATAGGTATAGATATTCATGGTGATAATATAAAAACTTACTGTTTTCTCTAGAACAATTCCTTAGCAGAGGAAGTATTTGTTCCAAATATTCACTAAGATCTGGGAGGTTTCGTTCCCATGATATTTTCATGCGTAATAATATGTCTTCATCTTGAATTTTCTGCATATTCTTATGTAATTCTAAATCAAGTTAAACAAAAAAGTTTGACATAATTTAATATGATATCAAACAATTGTTCTCGATGTACGATTACAATGAAACAAACATTCAACGGAATATTGAATACTTACCTCTAAGTGTGCAGTTCACATTCGTTCCACAGTCATAGTCTGTTGCAAATCGGAGTTTATGAAGTGCTGTGTCTCCAAAAGTTACAAGCTGAAACAGTTAATTAACAGGTATTGTTAAATTTGCTACATCTCTTTATTCAAGTGTCGCAAAACGCCTTCACTAAGTTTAAACGTTTGTCTGAAACTGATTCTATGAAAGTTGTTAACGCTTGCTAGGAGTGACCCTAAATGTAGAAATCATTTTAGTTTCACTTTCAGTTTTCATTATATTTTTAAAGAGATGATACATACATACATACATAAACACTCACGCCTGTCACCCAGAGGGGTAGGCAGAGACTACAGACTTCCATTTGGCACGATCCTGACACACCTCTCTCGCCTCCTTCACATCCATACATTTACGCATGCATGCTCGTCGGTTAAGGGTACTCCTAATTTGGCCCGTTTTCAATAAATCGCCAATTTGGTCGATAAATTTTCGCCTAGGACGTCCCTTTCCGACTCTGCCATTCACTTCTGCAACATAAATTTTCTTTGTCACTCTTTCCTCATCCATTCTTTCCACATGACCAAACCACCGAAGCATTCCTTTCTTAATCCTGGTCACAACATCATCTTGCAAACCACACTCTTCTCTTAGCAGGGATGTGAGATATGATAAGGATATAGAACGACGAGTGAACGCAGGAAACAGAGTAAATGGGGCCCTGCACTCTATTGTGAAGAGTCAAAATGTGTCAAAAAAGGCACGTATGGCAATTCACAATGCTGTGTTGGTCCCTACTTTAACGTATGGTAGTGAAAGTTGGGTGTGGCAGAAGAAGCACGAGAGTAGAATAAATGCAGTAGAAATGCGGTCGTTAAGGAGTATGTTAGGGCTGAATCTGAATGACAGGGTGAAGAATTGTGTGATAAGATGATACAATTGCCGCATATCAATAATAAGCACAAAAAATAACAAGTATTAGTTTAACTTTCAGACAACTTTAAATATTTTTATATTTACACATTGATTGGAAATGTATCAAACATATTATATATATACATTTTTTTTTTCAATATGCAAAACACATAAGCATATTATAATAAAAAATGTTTACAATTCCTACAGACGTACTTAATATAAATAAATTAACAGAGATATTATACAATTTGAATGTGTCGTAAGAGGCGACTATGGGAAATACTAAAAAATCCTACCAAATTCCGATAAATGACGGTATCAGCCCATCGCGTATACGCCAGACGTAAAATACCCGCAACTGGCGGTGAACAGCGTCGAAGCCGCGATACGTCAGATACTGCGAGCGTTAATCCGTCTGCCAATGAAAGAAATCATCCCTACATATCAAATCTCCCTACGGAAGATGCCTATTCCCGATAGTGGGATTCTATAATGATTTCTTATATTTACGCGAACACTATACATTGATTAAAACTACTTTTACGGATTTTATCGCGTTTTATTTATTTTATATTTAATACTCGACGTTTCGGGTGCTTTCCAGCACCCGTGGTCACGGGGGACTCCAAAATAAAATAAATAAAACGCGATAAAATCCGTAAAAGTAGTTTTAATCAGTGGAATTCTATGATAGATTCATATAAAAACCTAGAAAAAACAACGTAACTCTATAATAATTTATTCAAAAAAGTTAAGTAACACTAGTGTCTCCTACCTTTATCCATTGTTCTGGCTCCAATAGCGTATCTCCCGGTTGTAGGAGAAGTTTTACTTTTCTCTTGAGTAAGTCGTCAGATGAAAGTGCTTGAGAAGTTATAGCGCTCTTCACGTCGGCCATTTGCTGTCGCGAAAATATTCCGTAAGCTTTGTCGCGCTCCAACTGTGAAGAACCATGTCATTAAGGATAACCGTTACTTACGAGTACATATTATAACAAACTAGTCTACTAGAATATTCCTATACACATATATGTACATAAAATTTTATGTGTGTATTATAATATCAGCTTTCGCTTTGATATTTCATAGTAGGTACGCGAAGAAACTGAATCCCATCTCTTCGGCACCAATGACATCCGTTTGCTTGAATTGATTTCAATTTCTCATATTACCCCGAGATCGGCGGTAAAGGAAAACATCATTGATCAAACCTGAGGGCTAAACTTAAATGTCTCAAGGCCTACAATTTTATTCCTGCTCAACTCTTCTAATCGGATACCATAGCTTGACTACACTGCTGTTTGAAAGCAGAAGTTTCGTGGCAGGGTGCTATCAATTCAGACGTACTCCTAGGCAGAAAAATATCGTGGTAATAATTACAAAACTCCTTAAAATTTTGCATATAATATGAAAAGTTCGGTATTTTCTTTCTTTTCTGTAAATGCGTAGTAGTTTTTGCTTAAAATATAATTTGAAATATTCAAAAATATTAAAACAGACCTTTGTGGACAGTCCTTTACTGGCACCAATTAATTCATCCCAACCAGCATCTGCTCTTTGTTCGCAATGATCTTCATAATCTAATTCCACTAGGTCGACTAATGACATCAGCCATCTTCTGTCGTCGCCGCTAGATGACGTTCCACTCGATAGTAAAGTGTACAGGCACGCAATGAAGAGGGTTACAGAGGACCGCATTATTATTCTGAAAAAAAAATTATTTGTTACTAATTACTAAAACTTATTTCCAATATGAAAAACCTCTTAGATATCATTAATCGTTTTCAAAGTAGACTAGATCTTAACACTTATGTTTTTTTTATCAACTAATTTACGTCCCTATAGTTTATATAGGAAATAATAAGTTTTAATACGTTCAGCTTTCTGGTTTTAATCCACTTTAATGTCCATGTTTTAGTATTCCTTTTAATTACTCCTTTTTTGGTGCCGCTGTTCTATTTAAAGATATGGAACAATGAGGCTTCAGTATGCGTACATCAGTTCCCGTTGTAAATGCATTGTGTGTATGAATTGCCTCGTTGGTCTAGTGGTTTTAGTAGTGCGACTGCTGATCATGAGGTCCTGGGTTCGAATCCCGGGCCGGGCCAAAAAATTAATTATTGAGTTTTTCCGTCAAGAAATTGTCAGTAGTTGCCCGGAGTCAGGAAGTTGACGGTGTCTCACCCCCCTGCCTCGAAAAGCACGTAAAGCCGTTGGTCCTGCGCCTGATCTCTCTCCGGTCGTGTCGGTTTACCGTCCCATCGGATTATGAGAGTGAGGGAAGAGAGATTGCACCTCTGCTTGCGCACACACACTTTACACTTGGGCACTATGATCCTGTCCTGCGCCGATGGCTAGCCTCCGTTAAGGCAGGCCGCCGTGGCCGAAATTCGGTCTGGAGGACATTATTATTATTATTATATATGTATGATAACTGTGTCAACTACTGCGTAGATAAGTCTAACTATTTTTGAACATTTAATATAATGTGCAGTAAAAAGTAAATTAATGAATCTTTCTTGAACAAGTTAGTTATTTTTTGATTATTATGATATTGCGTAGCATAGAGCATTGCTATATTATGTTGCGTAGTAGTATGTGCTTAACAAGTGCACTCTTTCCTAATTTAACCCTTCGCTGGATCATCGTCTATCAACACAATCTTTAGAAAAAGCTATTGCGCTATTAAGTCACTGTAATGTTGCATCTGGACGCACACTAACAAATAATAATACGGAATTATACTATTAGTAAAATCAAATAATAATTTTGTAAACAAGGACAAAATATTAATTTTATTTTGCTAATAGTATCATTCATCATTCATGCGTAGGTATATGGATGTGCAAGAGGCGAGAGAGGTATGTCAGGAACGTGCTAAATGGAAGTCTGTAGCCTCTGCCTACCCCTCTGGGTGACAGGCGTGAGTGTTTATGTATATGTATGTTAAGTATCATTCAATTTATATGCAACTAGCGATCTTCGCACGGGTGATTTTGTGATCTCCACGAAGAAATATATGTATATAAATGTTAAGAATTCCATATTCTATCAAGAATGTAACATAAAACACATAAAAGTTGTTTCAATTGTGTTAGTATATTACGATTACATTCATCATCATCATTTCATCATTACACCTAATCACAAGTCCATCGCTGAGAATAGGCCTTCCCCAAGGAATGCCATAAAATCAGGTCTTTAGCCACCTGTATACATCGAATTCCAGCTTTTTTAACCAAGTGAAAATGCTGGTGGTAACAGGTAAACCACTCCAACTAGTGGGGTAGCCCTAATCTTCGCTTTGCGGTACGAGATAGCCTCGTAGGTATACTGCTGTTTTATGTTCGTACTCTGTGTGAGTATGCTCCTCCTTCCCGGATCGGACCAATAAGATCTGATTCTACCCATTCTTATACGTGGTAGAGCCACGCTGCAGTTATATTAGAAGCATACTTGTAGCACGAATGGGTCGATTCGACCGGGGAGGGACCACGCTCTCACAGAATACCAGCGTGAAATAGTAGCTTAATGCTGCCGTGTTTCGTGTGGTGAGTGTAGAGAACCGGAGACCCTTTTTACTGGAAACGAGACATTCCATCTAAGTCCTCACGGGTGACAACGCATCTGCATTTTGATTCGTAATCGAGGATAGATGTAGATGTCTATGGGCCACAGCAACCACTTACCATCAGGTGGACGTTTGTCACCCTATTCTATAAAAAACCGCGTATTGCTCTTTCCTCAGACCAACATTATGTGTAACAATAACGGATAACATGCCGCGCTCGGGCTACATACAAAAACTGACTTAGCTTAGGATAGTTCTAGTCTTTATTTTTACTATTATATCAAACACACACACGTAACTCACAGAAAAAAATACTTCTATATTTCGTAAAACCTCGAACAAATGAGTTAATAATGTCGAAATGCTAATTTAATTCCGTTCACGTATATGATACGCACGTGTACTTTGACCTTAATGAGTAATTCATTATCTAGCAAGCAATGAAGTTATCGTTATTCTACAAATTTGAGTCGTTTTGTTGTGGAAATTTCTAAAAGTGTAATCATCAATACTACATACATAAACGCTCACGCCTGTCACCCAGAGGGGTAGGCAGAGACTACATACTTCCATTTGGCACGATCCTGACACACCTCTCTCGCCTCCTTCACATCCATACACCTACGCATACATGCTCGTCGGTTAAGGGTACTCCTTATTTGGCCCATTTTCAATAAATCGCCAATTTGGTCGATAAATTTTCGCCTAGGACGTCCCTTTCCGACTCTGCTATTCACTTCTGCAACATAAATTTTCTTTGTCACTCTTTCCTCATTCATTCTTTCCACATGACCAAACCACCGAAGCATTCCTTTCTTAATCCTGGTCACAACATGATCTTGCAAACCACACTCTTCTCTTATTACACAATTTCTTACCCTGTCGTTCAGATTCAGCCCTAACATACCCCTTAACGACCGCATTTCTACTGCGTTGATTCTACTCTCGTGCTTCTTCTGCCACACCCAACTTTTACTACCATACGTTAAAGTAGGGACCAACACAGCATTGTGAATTGCCATACGTGCCTTTTTTGACACATTTTGACTCTTCACAATAGAGTGCAGGGCCCCATTTACTCTATTTCCCGCATTCACTCGTCGTTCTATATCCTTATCATATCTCCCATCCCTGCTAAATACGCAGCCCAAATATACAAACTCATCTACTTGCTCGATCAACTCCCCCTTCTATTCTTATTTCACAAATCGTTTTACTTTCTTCTCTTTCAAAAACCATAACCTTCGTCTTACTTGCGTTCACTTTCATACCCCTTTCTTTTAATGATCTGTTCATTAATGTAACCATCATTTGCAACTCGGCCGCCGACGACGCAAGGATAACTTGATCATCGGCGTACAAAAGGCATTTGATGGTTAACTCACCCATTCTTAAACCGCATTCTTCAACTTTCAAATGTTGCAAACAACTGTCCATAAATAGGTTGAACAGCCACGGGGAAGCCACACAGCCCTGTCTGACACCCTTATGGATGTTAAACCAGTCCGAGTAGACCCCGTTGATCCTAACACAAGCACTAGAGTCCCTATAAAGAGACTCCAATGCCTGTATCAAGCCAGCGCTCAACCCAAATGAGTTAAGTGTTTGCCATAGCACATTCCTGTCCACTCTGTCATAGCCTTTTCCAAGTCCATGAACGCACAAAAAACCTTTGCTGGTTTTTGGCCAAAAACTTCTCCGCAATCATGCGCATGGAAAAGACTTGATCTGTACATCCCATTCCCTTTCTAAATCCCGCTTGCACATCCCAAATTTTTCCATCAGTTTCTTTCATGACCCTTTCAATCAGCACCTTAGCATACAGTTTTCCCACAATGCTAAGAAGGCTGATGCCACGGTAGTTTTTACAGTCCTGCTGCGACCCTTTTCCTTTATATACTAGGACTATCACGGCTTTGCACCAGTCTACCGGTACCCGCTTCAGTTTCCAGCATAAATTAAACGTGGTGTGCAGCAGGCCTGCCACGACTTCCTCTCCAGCCCTTAGCATTTCGAGTGAAACTCTATCATATCCGGCAGCCTTACCTGCTTTCATGCTTTTCATTGCTTTCATTATTTCATCTATACTTACCTCGCTACCTCTTTCCTCTTTTTCGGAGTTTCTACTTCACTTAGTACAAACGTTGTCTCCTCACTCATAAACACGCTTTCAAAATATCCCTTCCATCTCCAAACACAAAACTTCATCATTCAGAATATAGCCATTCTCGTCTCTTATAGCATTCATCATAGGCTGTTTTGAATATCCCCTGGCAGTTCGTACAAATTTCTAGAACATTTTAATATTTTTTTCTTTCAACTACTTCTTTTACTCTCTTATTAAGATTCTTTTACTCTCTTATTAAGATATCAATACTAATGAATAATATAATATAAATTTGTAAAACCGTAAATATAAATGAATAAAATAAGTTTTACGAATTTTATTGTATCAAAGTTAGTTTATTTTCAAATTCTAAGGTTTCCAGTATGATGCAGCACTCGTGGCTAAGGGACCGACATTTTCACCATCCTTTTATAATAGATTATAATTAACCCAAGTTACATACTCAGCTCGAAATTATCGATTTTGTTCCGGTTGGAGTTAATGATAAGCTATCACATGGATTAACTATATCACAACCATTTTATCGCAAGACGATGGCCATACGATAAGAGTCTTGACTGAAATCAATTTTTTTTATTTTTTCTTAAAAGTCTCACAAATCGTCCTTTTGCAGGAGATGCGATGTTCTCGGAAACATAATGGAATGGCGGGTTGATTCTGAACATGTTCACAGATAGCAGACTTCCCGAAGCGTTTATGTTTCAGATCAGCTATATTATTTCCTTTTCGTGGATTTTGCCAATTTTTTGTTTACACTTTGTAAGGAAGCGTAGTATATATTAAAACAATGCAACTTAAACACCACAAATCTGTAAATTAGTAGGCCGTGGCTAAACGTTTCGTTGCGGCACTGCTGCCCTAAAAATAGTCTACAGATCATTGTTTCAGGTCCGATTGTTTATTCTAGTG